AAAGAAGATTGAACATAAGCAACTAAATAATCATCATTCCATTTCATAACAACACAAGTAGAGATGGATGTAATGTCAAGTAAACATCGTTCGATTTCACCAAGTTCAATTCGTTGTCCATGTAGTTTGATTTGATGATCTTTTCTTCCTTGATAATGAAGAAGACCATTGTTATCCATTCTAACAAGATCACCTGACCGATAAAATAGTTTACCATCTATTTCAAGAAGAACTTTAGCAGTTAAATCATCACGACCAAGATAACCGGCAAATACACCCACTCCACCTATAAACAATTCTCCTTCTTCTCGGATCGCTGCAGGCTGCAAAGAAACATCTAGAACCTTGCATTGTTCATTAGCCAGAACACTACCAAGAGGAATGTTGTTCTCAACAGAATTGGTGTCAACGCGATGACATATCGACACAACGGTACATTCAGCCGGTGCGTATATGTTGTGCATGTAAAACTCACTTTTAATATGGTTTCTGAGGCGGTGAATAAGTTTTAGTGAAAATGGCTCACCTACAATGATAAGAAAAAGTTTCATTATCACCTTTATTTCGCTTTACTAACCGCCAATACAAAGTGATCGCACAGATGACAAAGAATAATGATTGGAATGTGCAAGAAAATCGCATAAATGATTTAAGAAAGTTGGAACAGGCGCAAGACATGTGATCTGTTTATGTTGCAGTGTGTAAGTAAAATATTCAAAATCCATATTGCCGTATGGATGTAACATCACAACGGTCGCAGACAAAAGTAAGCTACCCATGATTTCCATGACATGTACATCGTATGTCGGAGCACATATTTGAGACACTGTGTCTTGTTCGTTTATTACACCAGTGTTTTGTATAGAATGCACGAAATTTGTGAAGTTCCGATGCCTGATTTGCGCCTATAACATAGCGAAAAACTGAAAAAGACACTTCAAAAAATGCAGAAAACATACTGCTTTTGGTGTCCCAGTAGAACCACTTGTAAAAATAATGTACGCGACATCTTCTGCAGCTGTTGTAACTTTCGATAGCCGAGTCACATCAATAACACATTCAGTGGCATAGCTCATTAATATTGAATCAATACTAAGTAAAACAATATTACCATCGAGTTTGGTCTTAGTTAACTGATGAGCAAGAACAAAACGACTTTGTGTCTGTTGTATAAGAGCATCCAAACGATGTTTGGGATCTCGCGGTGATAATGGACAATAAACACCACCTGTCACTTCAATTGCCATTATACCAATTACCTAGTCAAAAGTAATCTGAAACTCATCAATAGTTATTTCCTCTAATCAACTTACCATTGACACACTCCGCTCTACACATTGACAAATGATTTCACCTGGAGTGATAAGATACTCATTAAGAAGAGTTAAAGATAACACTTGAACATAATATAGAAGTTCACAATATGTCAAAGATTGTTCATCGAGTTCAACAGCTAGTTTTTGTGGATGTTTCATTACTTGATAAACAAATCCATGATGAATACAAGTAAGAGAAGATGGAAATGAGACCTGTGTATTGTTCACTGATTGCATGAGTAATCTCTCACTTGATAATGTTAATGATATTTCATAGATTGGTTTAATCATTTTATCATCAACAGATATAAATAATTGTTTCAAGATTGAATGAAATCGTTGAGATATTTTGTTGATTGTTTCTACATTGAATAAATCAAGTGATGCATTGATTGTACATGAGATTTGATTGATATTGAGATCATGTTCGATTAGAAGTGAGAAATCATACTTATTTCTAATCTCATTATCATTAATGTTCATCGTGGAAGGTATGGAAGAAAGTTGACTATCACCAGTCATTATTTTATTTTTCTCATCTTTTGTCATTGATGATATAAACTCAAATGATATATCAAGAAATGCTGGTTTTGAAACATTTGGATGTTGACTGAGAATACGTTGAAGAGGAAAGTAAGAATATTTTAAACTCTTCATTGTTGTCTCTTCTACGTGCTCAAGTAGTTGCTGGAAAGACCAATAAGGATCTAGTTGACATCGTAATGGAATGATATTCTCGAATAATCCAATTTTAGATTTTAGTTCATGTTTATAACGATTGTAGATATTCATCGAAATGCATAAATCTTTTTCACCATTCGTTAATTTGAATAAGAAGATAAAGTAAGTAGCAAATGCTAGATGTTCATGTTTGATATTATTTGATGATACATAGGTGATAAACTGATGGGAAAGATCTTGGCCGAAATCAAAAGAGACTGATATTGTCTGATCAGTTGGATGTTGATTCATAAGACGATTTCGATCGTATGGTAATGATAATGATTGATTAAGTTTACAATCACGAAGAATATCAAACCAAAATAAACTTGCATCAATCATTGACACTTGATTTTCGATAGTTGAGCATTCCTGAATGGTAGATGTGCATGAGTTGGACGAATCTATATGTTTATTGTCGAATTGATGAATAAGATTTTCCTCGTTTGAAGAAACAATGGATAGATTATAGATAGGTTCATCGATCATGAAAGAACAAAAGAGTTGTGTAAGCATATGTTGAAAACGGTTTGCAACTTCATTAACAATAGCTTGACTTTGGAATATTTCAACTGCACAATCAATAACACATTCTGTAGTTCGTGCATGATGATCATGTGCTATTGTGACAGACATATCGAATATAGCTAATCCATTACCGCGACTTCGATCCCGATCATAGTATATACCAAGAACTAAATCTTTATCTACAGTTGATTCCACTGTAGTTTTTTGTGTCATAGATGACATTAAAGAGACATATTCAAAGAATGTTGATGGCAATCGCCGATGTTTTTGTTTATCGTGTAGACCAATGATCTCTTGGTATGGTAGAGACGCATGTTCCAGAATATCAGTACTTAGTTGTTGCACTTTTCGCACGAAATGATTAAATGATTTATTTGGCTCAATTTGTATTCGATATGGTAGAATATTAACAAACATGCCGATCATTTCTTTTGTTTCTTGATTAAAACGATTAGCTACAACACTTGCTACGCATAAGTCCTCTTCATTTTTGAGTAACTTGAATAAGAATGCATAGAAGGAGGCGAATGACAGCGAAAACATAGTAATGTTATTGGATGAAGCAAACATCATCATGTTGTCGACAACACGTTGATCGAAGACAAATACAGTCGAATAACCACGGCCAGAACGAGTTTGGTTATATCTAATTTCAGTAGACACAAAGGCTCGTATGCGATTCCAATCATAACCATCCATAAGATCGGACCAAAATCGACGTGCCTTGTTCGTTTTTGAATTTGGATTCATATCAACTAGCATTGCCTGTTCATACTGAGCAAAGTCTATATATTGCTGAGTCAATAATGTTGAATGATGATGTGCATTAATCCAATATGCGCGCTCAAATGCTTTAACGAATGATTTGCTTGAGGTGAGATCAAATGCTATGTGATGGATAGTAAAAACAATGAGGTCATTTTCATGTAATGAATGACCATCACTTTCATCACCGCGCTCCACGACATGGCATTTTACGACTCTTCCCGTCTCCACATCAAAGTGTTTCCTAATGGATTCATCCGTTAATAGATTATTCAGTTGTTCCGCTGTCGATATTCCTCGTGAATGTTGGAATAAGTAAATATCATCAGTAACAGGTTGAATATATTGTTCAACCTGATTAGTTGCTGGATTAAAGCGAACAGCGGTACGGAGAATCGTATGTTGTTCAATTACTGACCGTAAGGCCGAGCGTAGACGTTCAATTGAGAGTGAACCTTGTTTGATTATTAATGGAACTACAATATTATAGACGGATAGATCAGAAGCATGAAAGTATAGTTGTTCATGAAACCAAATTCTTTGTTGACCAAACGATGCTATAGCTTTTGTTCGACCCGAAATCATAAGCCGCTGCTCTTTCTGCACAGTCGATCCTTTTGTTGCTGTTGCTGCTACTTTTGTACGTGAAAACATTTGTAACGAATAAACCGAATAATGTCAATTAATTAGTTATGTGAAATATGTAGTATATGAAAATCTTAAAAAAACTATAAAGAAGATAAAGAAAACAAAATCTATACTTCGAAACTTGAAATCAAAACGTCCAATTAGCTAAATTCTTTATCAGTTTATAAACTAGAAAAAACAAAACGAGTTTCTATGATTTGATTTGCCAACATTTTATTTATAATATTCTTATGAGCTTATTGTTAGTATTCTTTCTGATAACGTACGATAGGTCTTGCTGTTTAGCATGTAATTTGACGAGACTATCGGACTACTGAGAAATATTCAGAGATTGACTAACGAAAGAACATATTTGAGTGCTTTCTCTTTTTCAAAATACATTTAAAACTATCCTTTTGCGTAGAAATCTAAATGAATATCTCTATTACTAACTTCCTAGCTGCTTTCATTTACATTTGAAAACATGAGAAAAAATTAAACATTTTTATATTTATACTTTTTAATTGTTGTTGTTATAACTGAGTGTGAGTGTGGGCAAGGGCGAGAGTGAGAGAGAGGCACCC